GAAGGGTACTCTAATTTGGGTAGACCCTCACACGTGGGTGGGGGGTGCCCCCCACATCTGCAAAGGTGATAGCCTTCAGGGCTTTTTGCTGCTTTGGGGTTCTGGCTCCCTCAGGATTTAAAGGGGACCCTGGGGAGGCCACCTGCTAGAAGGGAGTATCTGAGGTTTGGTAGATTTCTCTGAGGCCACCTCTCACCCCTCCAAGGGGCGTATTTCCTGGGGTAAGCCTCAGTCTGGAGGCTTCTTGCTGGAAAGGAGGGACCAGGATGGAGGCCACAGATGCCCCAGAGGCCAAAGCGGCGAAACAGGCTCTCACAGAGCCGGCCCCTCTGCCCCAGCCCCAGCCTTACCCAGAACCCTCTCTGTTGCTGTCCATGCGGGATGGGGGCTCACACGGTCTGGCATAGAGCCCAACTGTGGTCCTTACACCATCTGGTATCAACGCGAGGCTATTATGAGCGAAGGGGTGGAGTTGAGCCTGTCAATCAGGTCGCAGCTTGATGACCTCATCTGGAGGCGCAAGCTCACCAGGGGCCAGATCCACATTCTCTGCTTTGTCTTCCTGCTGACAAGACGCTTGGAGCTACACTGATGGAGCCAGAGCCCTGGAGCTGGAGGAGCCATGTGGCGACCCACGCCAGTACTGAGAAGCTTCCACCATCATGGGCACCACAAGACTTGCCACCCACTGGCCAGTGATCTTCCTGCATTTGGCATCCTTGCACGGTTGAATGAGTCTGAAGAGGGATTTATGGAGTTGTATCAGCATATGGTCTAATTTCAGACTCATGGGCTTGGATGATTTATTGATGTACAATTGCTCTTTGGTACAAAGTTTTCCTTTTATATCACACATATGAGTGTCTCTGGATTTGTTTCTCTAGTTAACCCGGACTCACACACCAACCCACCAGGACACTGGGGAGAGAGCAACCAGTCTCTGGGCTGGGGATGCTGGGTACTGAGGGAGACAGAGGCTTGGCTAAGCAATGAGCTTGCACTCTGCCTGTATGGTGCTGGCAGTAGGAGACACGGCACTCTCTCTCTGCCACATCCTGGGTGTTTTGGGTGTTGGCACTGGGTGGTACAGTGCTTATGTGGCAGTGGAGCAGCCAAGAGTAGGGGGTAATGGGTGCCTGTGATGGATTGGGACTCGGTCCCCCCAAGACAAGCCTTGTCCATCCTAACCCCTGTGCTTGTAGATCTAAGAGCTTCCTGTGTCGTGTTCCTGGGGACCATTGCCAGTGTGGGTATGTCTTAGGCCAACATTTGAGCAATGGCAGGGGATGAGGCACAGCAGTGCGAAGCACCTGGCGGGAGTGACAGATCCCATGTGCAGACTGCTAAGGAGCCAAGACACCTGGGGACCCAACCACCCCCAGAACCCCAAGGGCTTCCAGACCCCCCAAAAACCCTAAGGACCCAAGGACTCCGAGGACCTACGGACACCGGAGCCCAAGGCACCTGACCACCTTGTTAGCCCAGGTAGACCAGAGAAACAAATCTAGGGAGACTCCTAAGTGTCAAAGAAAGAGCTTTATATAAAGAGCAATTGTACATTAGGAAAACATCCCAGCCCAGTCCAGATCAAGTCCATGAGTCCATTATTAACCCATATGTCCCATACCCATCTATAAATTCCTCTTCAGACTCAGGCAGCCATGCAATGATGCCGAATGCAAGAAGATCACAGGCCAGTGGGTGAAAAGTCTTGTAGATCCAGTGGCGGTGGAAGCATCTCAGCCCTGGCAGGGGTCTCCACGTGGCTCCTCCAGCTCCTGGGCTCTAGCATAGCTCCATGTGTCTTGTCATCAGGAATACCAAGCAGAGAGCATCTGTGTCCCGCCTCCAGCGAGCTATGTATCTCATCACACCTCTAAATGAGGTCAAGGCTAAACTTCACCCCTTCACTCTTAGTAGTCTCAAGTTGGCTCCAGATTGTGTAACTACCATACCATGAAAATCCGAGGGCCCGATGACCTAAGGAACCCAGGGACCTGAGGACATAAGAGCCCTACGAATCCAGGGAACAAGAACCCAGGAATCCAATGATCCCAAGGACCCGGGGAACAAGGACCCAAAGACCCACTAACCCAGGAATCCAAGAATCTGAGGACCCCAAGGACCGAGAACCCATGGACCCGGAGACCCCAAGGAGCAGAGCAACCAATGTTCTGAGGACCCCAGTACCTGAGGACGAAAAGCTGAGAGAGACAAGGGTATTCCCCCTGAGGGGACAGAAAGAGCCCCCCTCCCCCAGAGCAGGCACCCTGAATTCACAATTCTTACCCCCTCAGCCGAGGAAACAAACACCAGTGTTCTCCGTTACAGCTGTAGCAGGTGAGGAACATCCTGAGGGTTAAATGTGGGACCGGGGGCTGGGTGGTCTGAGTCTGAACAGGAGGCCATTGTCCCACATTCTGCAGGGCACCCTGGGAGAAGGGAGCTGTGGCCTGTAGTCCAGGTGGGGGCAGCATGTAGACTGACAAGGGGCGGGTTGGGCTGTGGCCCAGCAGATATGTCAATCCTGTTAACAGGAGTTCTGTCTAAAGGTCTCCAGGGCCTAGGGATACAGGAGCCCCAGCTGGGCCTCTGTCTGCCAGGAGGCCACAGAGAACATCTGGGCAGGGGCTGGGGTGGGAGGTTCACTTCTAAGTCTGAGTCCAGGTCAGAGGTGGGACCCCCAAGGGGCTAATGCTGAGGCCCCGGCCCCTGCATTTCATCCACCTCGCCAAGCCAGGTGCCAAGGACTGCAACCGGCTCTCCTAAAAACCCACCCCAAGCCCACTGCCCTCTAGTGACCCTACAGGCCACCGCTGAACTGCCCCACTGGGTTTCCGGGGTCGTGATGGCACGTGTGTGTGTGTCCTGGGCTGGTCCAACCCAGCAGCATCTTGGGAGAGAGGCGGCCGGGTGGCTGGTCCTGCAAAGGGGAAGTCTCAGCAGTCCTGGGGAGCATGTGTATTCAGCCCCGTGGGGTGCTGCGGGGCAGAAGCATGCCCGGCGGCGGCGGCCGGGCTATGGTGGGTTACAGGCTGCCCAGAGTGCGCCATTTTTGCAGAAGCAAAGCTATTGATGGCTGGAATGTTCTCAAAACTCACTGCCATCGGGTCAATGGTGACTTTAGCCACCCTGTAAGACAGGGTAGAACTGCCCCGGTGGGTTTCAGAGACTGCAACTCTTTACAGCAGCACCACACACACACACACACACACACACACACCTGCGGGCAGCTGGTGGTTTTGAACTGCTGACCTTGCAGTTGGCGATCCAAGGACGAACCCCTCCCCTCATTCTGACATTCAAGGCCCCCACTTCGGGGCGTCTCTGGATGAGCTCGCCCTTGTGATGTCCCCTATTGTCCCCACTCCTCATTCTTCCACCCAGGGCTCTGATGTCCCCCCCTGTTGCTCCCCACTCCCCCACCTCCCAACCCTCAAGCAGGCGCCGCAGGTGGTCTCGCCCTGGGGGTGGAGGCCCAAGGAAGAGAAAGGACAGGAGGGCCGGGTGCAGTCCCTAAAACAGGCTCTTTAATAACACGTCTTCACTGAAGAGCGTCGCTTCTCCCCCCAGCCCTCGCTGGGCGCTAGTAGAAGGAGTACTGGTTCTCCACGGCCCGCGGCCGGCCCCGCGCGCCCTCCGGCTCGGCGAGCTCCTCGGCGCCCGCGGGCTCCCGCAGGCGCTCCGGGCTGTCGCTGCGGCTGCGTGGGGCCTCGGAGGGCGTGGCAGGGCCGGTGGCGGCGGCTGGGGCTTGGGCTGCTGGCGGCTCAGGGGGCGAGGCGGGCGGCCCGGTGGTGGTGGGAGCCAGGTTGGAGAAGTAGTGCTGGCCGGCGGGCTCGCTCCAGCAGGTGGGCGCGGCGGCGGGCGCGGGCCCTGGCTCTGCAACGGGGCAGGAGTGTCAGCCTTCCTCCCTTCCCCACCCCTCCACTCCCCTGGCTGAGCACGGCGCGGCGGGCAGGGGTGCAAAGAGGTGGGGTGGCCCGAGATGACAGCGGGGGTCGAACTTGGAACCAGGCACAGATCAAGTCTGCAGACAGTGATTAGGGGCGGGGGATCAGTGGCTGTGCGCCTGTGCACACCCCCAATGCGCAACTCACCCCGCCTTCCGCGCAGAAAGGCGTTTGGGAGCCCAGGGATCACTCAGGTCACCCTGAGGTCAGACTGGGGACTTGGTGCTCTGCGCCCCCACCCAATGGTCACCTGTCTGAAGCTATCCTCTCAGTCAGGTGGGGGTGTCTTACCAGGTGGGGGGCCCTGGGCCCGCACGTAGCTGCGCAGGGTGATGTCGGCAGAGCCGCCGGACTCCAGCGGGATCGGGTGGGTGTGGAAGTGGCGCAGCATGTCTAGCACCGACTGGAACCACAGGTGCTGGACGTGGCACTGGCCGTGGCCATTCAGGGACAGGCGCAGGTGCTGTGGGCACAGGTGGGTGGGATCAGTGATGGGGTCCCCATGCTGGGCACCTGCCTTTGATGGTAGTGGGGAGAAGGCCTGACAGAGAAGGGGGTTGGGGAGTGCAGAGAGGGAATCCGACCCACTGCAAGTTTGGACGCAGGTCCTTCCCACCCGGCCTATAGATGCCCCCAAACTCCCAGAAGGTGGGAACTAATGCCTCCATATTAGAGCTAGGGAAACTGAGGCACGGGACGGGAGCGTGACTGCCACCTAGCAGGATTTGTCAAAGGAAGGAGAAAGAGGCCCTGCTCTCCAAGAGGTGGGCCCCAGCAGGTTTCCAGGCCCGAGCCCACCAGCAGCAGGCTGGAAGTAGGAGCCTGGGTCCCCCTTCTCCAGTGAGGACCCCTGGGAAGAACAAAAGCTGGTTCTGTTTTTCCTTAAGGGCCCTGGCAGGGCATACTGGGCAACGGAGCCTCTGGCCTATTCTGGCCACACTGCAGCCGCCCCCCACGTCCACAATCACTTGCCTTTTCTGCTGTATTTTCCTTGGCACCTAAGCTTATAATTAGCAGACGGTCCCTTCCTTGCTGAGTGCTGCTCTTTCTTTCTTTGCTCAGGCTGGGTTCCTGTTTGGGTCACCCCTCCATGTGGCTCCAGCCTGAACAGCCTTCTCCCTGCTTCATGCCTCCGATCCTGCTCTAACAGGGAGTCCCCTTGGGGAGACCCAGTTCCTGCCTGGAGCTGCCCTCCTGCCTGGCGGTTCTGTGTGCGGCCTACTCTGGCGTGGCTTCCTGTCTTGGTCCTCTGCTCCAGCCTGGGGCTGGCCCAGAGCCAGGGTCCAGGCGGGTCTGGTGAACTGACGTGAGCAGGGATGAGGGGCTGCCTGGAAATGGGCCGGGGGTGGGGGTCCCAGCTAGATGATACGAAAGCCAGCTGGGCTGCCTGCAGCCCCCACAAGAGGTGTGTGTGGGGTGGGTGAGCCACAGAGCCTGTTTGCTGGCCCCCTCCTGCTGGCTGGCAGGCTGCCCCACCCCTGAGGCCCCATGTCCTTGCCTTGGCCTTGCCCTGGAAGTTGAAGGTCAGCACGTACTCCCCAGGTCGTGTCTCACTCTGCCGGATCACGAAGAGGCCGTGGTTTCGGGGCCCCCCCACCAGCACCAGCTGGGCTGCCTTGACCCGTGATAGCGTCCCGTGGAACCAGGGGTACTCGGAGAGTTCCAGCTGTGGCTCCGGCTCGGGTTCTGGCTCGGCTCCCTCCTCCCCTGTGTAGGGAGGATGGTGTCAGGATGGCAAAGGGACGGAGAGCAGGGTGCAGCCTGGCTTTTGATTTGAAGCGGCAAGTCCCATCTCAGCAATTCAGAGCGGCCCGGCCCACGAGATCCGTCAGCAGAAAGCTAGTGGGGGCAGAGAGCCTTACCTGGGACAAATCAGAGCCCCTGTCCCCACCCTCTGAACAGCTTCGATGGAAATCACGTCCTGGGTGAAGGGTGGGGCTCCAGGTGCCCCTAAAAGGGCTACTGAGGAGTTGGGAGGTGGGGTGACATGCCAGCTTTGGAGGCATGAGGTGGGGTGTGGGGGGCAGGGAGATCAGGCTGCCCCTACCTGTGTTACTGCTGTCACCACCGCCGCCACCACTGCTACTGCTGCCACTGCTACCACCCGGGGGCTCCAGGCTCTGCAGGAAGGTCTCTAGAGGGACGTGGGCCAGGGACTCCCCGACGGCATCCCGAGCCCGGCCGTGTGGGGCAGTCACCACTGTCCCCGCAGTTGCTGCTGTCTCTGGGGCCCGGGGGATGTCTGCTGCAGAGGAAAGAGTGAGGGTGGCAGATAAGACTCACATGAGGCTGTCCCCCCTCCAGCCCTGCTCCCACCTACCGTCGGCCAGGAGCTCACAGCTACAGGAGGCCACACGGCTGGCCAGGCAGCCTCCCCGGGTGCATGAGGGCTCGGCATCATCCTCGCTGTCCCTGAAGAGGCAAGGAGTGGCCATGGGATGAGCCTCCCCTCCCCCCTGCCCCCCTCACTCACCCACTGTCCCCCACCCCCACCCAGGCTCATCTACCACATGGTGAGGCTGCCAAATGACAGCAGGGCCCCTGCCCACTAGCCTGAAGGGGTGGGTTTTGAGTGGCACTGTTCCAGAGGTGGGTGGGGCCTGGGTAGCGCCCTCCTCTGCCTGGGGCCTGGGGCCTGGGTCTCCCGTCTACGGAGCCGGAGCCGGTTACCTGAGGCCCCAGCCAGCACTGGAGTGTTGGAGTGGCTGAGTGAGGGGCAGCACCACAGGGGCAGTGGGGAGAGTTCACAGAGCAGATGGTAGGTGGGGATGGGGGCCGGGAGGGCTTGCAATCGCTCTGGAGGCTGGAGGTCTGTGTGGCAGCAGGGCGCCTTTAATTGTGCAGCCTTAAATGAGGCTGTTAATTAGAAAGCAGTGGCCCCTCCCCCTGGGGACTGGCTCACCCCATTAGCCCTCGGGAGCTGGGCCAAGTGCTGGCTGCTGGCCTGGTGGTTGGTCCAGCCTGTCACTGGCTGGGGCTCCCTGGCTCTGCCCTCCCGGTCCCTGAGTTCTCACTGAGGTCCTCCTGAGCGCCAGCACCCTGGTGGCCTTGAGGTCCGCCCCTTGCCCCTCGGGTCACAGGTCTTGTTTGTGCCCCACCTCCCTCCCACGTGCTGTTCTCTCGCTCTGCCCCCACCCATGACCTGTCCAGCCACGCGCAGTGTCTGAGGCCCCAGACTGACTCCCCCGGATCCCCTCCCTAGCCTTTTGGCTCACCCCATCCCTGTCTGGGTCCTGGTGGGGGGAAGGGGAATAAGACCTCCTTCAGGACCCCCGCAGAGCAGAT